GCTGCTAGTGGGACTTGGCCCCTGGACCACTTGCCCGGCGAGGCCAAAAATGAATTAAAATAAATAAATAGATAAAAATTGTTTAATTTAATCATTTTGTGTTTTATTGTTTATTTTGCGAAGAATTTCGGTCCTATCCTTTTTTTTCCCCCCTTCCCCGTGACTTTTTCCTCCTTTTTTCTTCTTTCGGGCTCCTGTTTGGAGCCCCTTTCCTTTCCATCTCCTCTCTCAGCACCCCCTTTTCAGCAATCTCCCCTTTCCTACCTTTTTTTTTTTTTTTTTTTTTGATTTTTTTTTTTTATTCAAATGAAGATTGAGGCCGGGGTCCTCACAGTCTACCCGCAGTAACCGAACCGAACATGCTGAGAACCGGGCTCAGCCTCCCTCACGCGATGATGATGGTGATGCTAGTAATGATGGACTTCTAGTCATTCTTAGAAAAGTGTAAGATAGTAATTCCAATGATGATGATAATGATGATGATGATGGTGATGGTGATTAGTATATAAAACAGACTATGCTATATCAACGATTCTACGCACCTCCTGAAGCCCACAGCAGTTTTCCAAAAAACTTATCTAAGGGATTTCCAACAGATCTTAACAAAGCTCACCGAAACTGACTTATTACCTAATTCTCATAAATGGAAAACTAAAACTGTTATCTTGGAATATCCGTGGCCTGGGAACACGACAGGTGGATAAACTAAAAGTGTTATCTTGGAATATCCATGGCCTGGGAACACGACAGGTGGCACACAAACGTTCCCTTTTTTTTTTCTTTTTTTTTTTTTTTGGAACGTTCCCTCATCAAAGCAGTGGTTAGGAATAACGGTGCTGCAATTGTCTGTCTGCAGGAAACCGAGCTGAACAGATAGGCAATCAAGTATGCACAGTTAGGGTCTCGTTAGACACTCCTAATTGAATCCTAAATTTTTTAGGACGAGTCCTAAAGGTTTTTTAGGATTTCGTGCGGCGTCGTTACACGCAATCCTAAAAATCATCTTTTAGGATTCGTCCTAAAAGGGCTCCCGCGGCCGGTTTTCATATGCGTATACGCAGCCGCGTCGCCGATGTCCGTTCGTTCCTGGGTGGTGTCCGTGGTACACACTCCGGAGGCCCTTGGGCGGGTGAAGAGGGGTCGGTGAAAAGCGCGGTCACCCCGACCTTCAAAAATTCAAATTTGAATGTTCGCGGACACAGGGTGACGGGGCGGAGGACGGCCAGGCGACGCGTGTGACGTACAAAAGACGGCGCTGGCGAACCGTTCGGCATGGGTATCCGTCTTCCGAGTCCACGCAAGTTGTGACCAGCGGGCGAATCTTCCTGCAAGGCGCATCTTCACCTCCGCCGTGCGTGCTCTCCTGTGGAAGCGTAGAGCAGCGGGCGCATCTTCGGCTCCGGCGTACGTCATCTCCTGTGGCAGCATACAGCAGCGGGTGCATCTTCGGCTCCGGTGTGCGTGGTCTCCTGAGCAGTGGGCGTGTCTTTGGCGGCTGTAGCAGGCTTCACGTTGTAGAGGTGGAAGGATTCTCAGAGATGGACGTTCGCGGCTGCGGGCATGGTCTACACGAAGAAGAGATCGACATGGTGGCAATGGCGGTGACTGCCGTCGTCGTCAACACGATGAGTGGTATGTCGTTGTCCTCACGCGACATGCTGACGCAGATCCATAAACGAAGAGCGTTGTTGCAGAGCATCGCCGAAGCGCCGGATTGCATGGCCACGTGTGAGGCAGTCGTCCAGTTGTGTGCCGCACTGTCGTCTAGCGTTTTCCCGCGGCAGACCCCGCGTTGGTGGATTAGACGACGGACTGGCGGAACATGGGAGGACCTTCGCCTGTGCGATGACGCGACGGACGAGTACTACCGCCAGAAGTTGCGCATGTCGATGGCCATGTCCAGGCAGATCATTGCCACGTGCGCTGCATACGTGGAGAAGAAGGTCACGCACTATAGGATGCCATCGCCAGTGGAGCAGGTGATCACTTTCACGTTGTACAGGTGGGCGTCAGGAGAGACTTACGAGAGCGGCACGTCAGCCTTCGGCATCGGCAGGGCAACTGGACTGCAGGCCGTCCGCGACGTCACTTCGGCGCCGCTGCAGGCGTACCCCGACGCGATAAAGTGGCCAGTGGGCCGTAGACGTCCGCAGATTCTGCGCGCTTTCCGTGACAAGGGTTTCCCGAACTGCTTCGGTGCAATCGACTGTACACACATCTACATTGACAACCGCGTCGGCGCACCTTCAGACAACTACTACGACCGCAAACAGAAGTTCTCCGTGCAGGCGCAGGTGGTGGTGGATTTGGATCTGTGGATCCTCCACGTCCACATCGGATACCCGGGAAGTGTGCACGACGTCCGTGTCCTGTACAATTCCCAGCTATGGAGGCGTGCAGAAGCTGGCGAGCTGTTCGACGCACCTCCGGAGAATCCGCCGCACGGTGTCGTCACGCGAAGTTACCTGCTAGGCGACAACGGTTATCCAGTTGCCTGTCCATGGATAGTGCAGCCGTACAGAGGAATCGACCAAGGTCCTGACGAGGAGCGCTTCAACACGCGGCAGAAGGTGGCGCGGGGGTGTGTCGAGAGGGCATTCGAGCGACTGAAGTGCGTGTGGCGTCTCTTCTTGCGCACCCACAAGACGAACCTGGAGACCTTGCCACAACAATTCGTGGCGGTGTGCACTCTCCACAACATCCTCCTCGACGCGGGGATCGACTTCGATGAGAACCTTTTGTGGGAGGTGGATGAGAATGGCGTTCGGCGCAGAGTGGGGAACGGCGCGGGCGGGCGGGCGGCGGCAGCGGTGGAGCAAGAACGTGGACGGGGACTTGTTGCGGGATGCACGTCGAGACCTCGTCGCTTTGATGTAGGACCGTGCAAACGGGAGGGGGCGGGGGGGGGGTCAGGGTTGGGGGGGAGGTGGAAGGACATGGGTTGGTGCGATCGGTAGGCGGGGGGAATTTTGTCGTGGCCCGTGTTCACGGTCGTTGTGCGCGTAGTTGCTGGGTCGATTGAATGGCGGCATGGTTGTCGCGGATGAGTTCCTTTGTTGTTTTCATCGTGTTGACGGTTCCGTGGTTCGTACAGTTGTGCGAACGTTTAATATTGGAAGAACCTTTTTTTGTGTGTGTGTCTCCCGAAATTGATTGTTTTTTTTTTTCATCTATGTGTCTTCAAATCATTTGTCTTGAATGCTTTCGTGTGGTGGGAAATTTGTTTTTTTTTATTTTGTGTGCCTCTTCATTTCTTTTTTTTTTGTTATTTTTATTTACTTATTTTTTTTTATTTTTCTATGTCTATTCAATGCATTTGTGGGGAATGTTTTCGTATCGTGGTGTGGTGGGACGTTGAACATGGCTGTTGAAATCATTGATGAAAGCTGCATAATGTCAGTTAACGAAGAAAAAAAAAACTAGAGAGAGGTATACATGGATTGTGTGCATGCATAGGAGGCAATCATCTTTAAATCATTCCACCGAAGAGACGAGAACAGTGGACACATGACAAAAAAAAAGGGTGCCCTAAAAGCGCTATGAAGTTCTTGCGCAGTGAACTGCGATGATAAAAAATACAATACAGGAATGAATTCAATGAACTCGTCGTCTGCTCCAACGACCGACACACTAAACAACTGCACTAAGCGCAAAATACACGATTGGAATCAATCAACCCGTCGTTGTGCCACAGCCGACGCACTAAACATCTACGCAATCGACGACGATTCTGCAGAATCCCTCTGACCAACACACTAAACAGGTGCGCACTTCACAACGGTCCAACCACAGTGAAGCCCATCACGACCGGCCACGTGTACATGCGCCCGCATTCACAGAAGCAACCTTATCCCCCCCCCTTACAGTCATTTTTTTCGTCATCGTTGTTGTCATCATCAGGGGGGTCCGAACCCAAACCATGTTATTCATTAAAATAGTACATTATTTTCTAAATAGTACTTTTGTCGTTCGAGAAACTCGAAAGGTATACACGGCTGACGAAAGGAGATGCTCATTATACATTAATACACAACGATAAGAGTCCCTGTTCAACGGATAAATCCTCAACACATTTAATTTGTTTCAAGACGAAAAGTTCAATTACTGAAGTCGGATACATCCTTACTAAACTGACACACATTCAGACAGTCAGTACGAACGTAGCATATCGAAGGTTTCCCGTTATGAGGGACGCATATGAGTGACCCGAAAAAGGTCTTCGTTGAGGCTTTAAAGGGTGCATGGGAGTGAAAAGAATAGCTCATTTTTTGAGTTTAATATACAAGCAGGATGAGTAGGATACATCCGAATCACATATTTCGATATCCATAATACACGAGTTGGCTAGTTTTATAGTAAAACTGGGATATATCCGAATCAAATATTTCATTATTCGGATGGAGAAAATCCATTATGTTATAAATCATGCGTCATTCATTAAATATCCTTCACTCAATCAAAAGGTTGAACTTATGATCATAGCGCGGATCACCCTCCGAGGGAAAATTAACCAATATGTTATCATTCCAAGAACAATTATAGCTTACCAAACATTTCTTAAAACAAAAGGGCGTCGGACGGAGTGAAGTAATGGGCAGCATTATGTAGAGATGTTATCATTTGCCGCTTGCCGGGTTTGACCTCGCAACCATGAACTTGTAACATCCCTGCCCAATGCTGCTCACCACTCCGCCACTGTCCTCGCCGAGATCAAATGATGTATGTTAACAAATAAAAGTGCACCGTCGGGAACCCCTCAAGTAACCTTCTAGTAACCATCAGTCTTAAATTTCAACTAGATGGCGGTTGCATGTACATTATCACTTTACCAAACATTTTTCAAAACAAACGGGCATCATACAGAATGAAGTGGTGAGGAGCATATTATGTAGAGACGTTATCATCTGAGGATTGGGCATTGGAGAAGGCTCAAACGAATGCGTAGGATACATCTGAATTAAACTGTGTACAGATTATCAGCTGTTGAAGTGACCAAGGACCTTATAATTATTTTGAAAGATCTCACTGAATTTTAAAGACAATTGACAACTAATGAGAACTAGATTGGAAAGCGAAGACAAATTAAAAACAGAGCGGGACACCCAGCCTACATAAGCAGGCACACAACCATTGTCGAGACAAATGAGAAGTACGCCGTAAAAACTGATAATAGTTATCTGGTCCCAATATTGTGAATTCGTAACGGTTACCTCAAAAGTTCTCATTAACCAAAGAGTTGGCAAGGCTATGTTGGACCGTCCACAATTAACCAAAAAGTTTCCGTGGAAATTTCAACTAATCGGACATTCTAACACAAAAATTTGAAAATGTCGAGATGTATCTCTAAAAAAGCCTACACTATGAAAACATTCACAAATCCGACACCCTGACGGAACTCTAAAAACGTAAGACTCGTAAGGAAAGTGTCCCAAACTTGAAATTTTCAAAAGAAGTCTCTTCGCAAAGCGTTCACTAACGGTTCTTATGTTGAACCGTCCACAATGCAAGCCGAGATAGGAGGTTGAGGCAGACCTTCGAAACCCGTAATGAAAATCGAGAAACCTTGAACGTCTATCCCAGCCATGACAATAGCACGTCTCAAGGACACAAGAACATCTGCAGCTTGCAGATAAGGTGCTGTAAAATCTACCAGCATTCAGTTTCCCCATTGACGCTCTTGTGTTTGATTGTCGTAACAGTATCCTTATTCTCTGGGTCAGATGCATCTGAACCACAACCGACCATGAGCCAGGGTCGGCGCTCGTGGCTTTCGTTAATACTTTACAGTGTGCAAATTTCAACTAATTTGACATTCGACCACAAAACTTGGGAAGTGTCGAGACTCGTCTCTCAAACTGGTGAAAATTAAAAATAATCAGAAATGACTATACTACGAAAACGTTAACAAATCCGACATAATGACACAAAACTCTAGAGACGTAAGACTGGTCACCAAATGGCTTAAAAAGTTGAAGTCTTCAGAAGAAGCCTCTTCAGAGAGCGTTCACTATCGGTTCCCATGTCGAACCGTCCACCATGTAAGCCGGGATTGGAGGTTGAGCCAGACCTTCAAACTCCGTTGTCAGGCGGCCACAAGTAGTGCGCCGCCTGAAAACGGCAGTTTAGGGGTTTAGGCTCAGGGTTAAGTCCGCGTTTTGACAGTGCTTTGGGATGACCAGGCA